ATAAAAATGGAAATACCTAGAAATTCGCCAATAAGTGACTAATTAAACAAATTATATATAGACATACTGTGAAATACTAGGAAATTATTATGAATAATGCAGTAGCTCCGTTTAGGCTTATATGGAAAGATATCCAAGGGAGTTTTTTTCTCTTTTCTTAAGTTAAAAGCCTGCTGTACAAGCATGCAACTACAAGTTTATAATCACATTTATGTTTCTTTAAAATATATATATATACTCATAAAATATCTGAAAGGATATAGATGAACAATTACTAGTTACAACTTCTAGGGAGTGAGACGAGGTGGGAGAGGTAAGAAGAGAACTGACATTTTTCACTCTCACAGTCATCCACCCTTACCCATGGCAGATATGTCCCAAGACCCCCAGTGGATGCCTGAAACCATGGATAGTACTGAACCCCATATATACTCTGTTTTTTCCTATACATACTTACCTGTGTTAAATTTTAACTTATAAATTGGCACAGTGAGAGCTTAATAATATCTGATAATGAAATAGAACAATTATAACAATATACTGTAATAAAAGTTACCATAGATCTTAGCAGCCTTTGTGGCCAATTTCTTTTCTTTCCTTATTAAGTTGAGAACTTTCATCTTTTCACTTAAAAGAAGCCCTTTATGGCTTCTCTTTGGCATACCTGAAGTGCCAGCATCATGACTCTTGTACTTTGGGGCCATTATTAAGTAAAATAAGAGTTACTTGAACACAAGCTCTGCAATACTGAGACAGTCCCTCTGATAACCAAGACAGCTACTAAGTGACTAATGGGTGGGTAGCGTACACAGCATGAATACTTTGGACAAAGGGATAATTCACAGGATGGAGTAGGAGGGTGCAAGATTTCATCACACTGCTCAGAACAGCATGCAATTTAAAACTTATGAATGGTTTATTTCTGGAATTTTCCATGTAATATTTTCAGATTGCAGTTGATCGTGAGTAACTGAAACTGTGGATAAGGGGGGACTACTGTATACCTTTTAAAAACTTCTCAATGTTGTTTTTTTACAATGAGCAAATAATAGCTTGTACAGTAGAAAGGAAGGAAGGAAGAGAAAGAGAGAGATGGAGGGAGGGAGGAAGGGAGGAGGGGAGGGAGGGAGGAAGGGAGGAAGGAAAGAAGGAACAAAGAAGGGAAGGAGGGAGGGAGGAAACCTTTGGAAGTAGTCAACCTATCCACGTAATGTAGGAGTTTGGTGTCTTCCTCCCTCAAGTGTATGTATATCATTCTTACCCAGAAGGTAAGAAGCCAGTGCAGCTGTGTTTGTTACATCTTGTTTTCTCTTGCTCGCTCAATCTCCTGGCAATCCTCTGCTCTTTCGAAGACAAAAGGAAAGAGTCAAGTCAGGAAACCTAAGGGAGAGGCTAGTTAGATCCTGGTAACCTAAGGACATATTGTAAAGAATAATATTCTCAAATCATATATAAAGGATATGTATAAAAATTATGAGACCAATGTAGCAGGTTTGATGCTCACATTGGATAATGGCTGAAATCAGAACTAGAACTATCTTACCTATTTGGAGTTGGTGAATGACAAAACAGCCTAAATTTATTTCCATTCCTTAGCCATAACTACATATTCTGTTATAATGGGGCTACTGAAAATGCTCCACTTTTATATCCCTACCATGAGTACAATCTAGTAGAACTAGAATTGTTCATTTTTCCCTTTGTCATGCTCCTGGGCATGCCAAAGTCCACTTCCCCTCTCCCTAGGTCCTACTCCCTGCAATGAAGCTGGCTCGTTCAATGGCTGTTTCATGTTGAAAATTGTCTGTATGCTCACAGTGGAAAAAATGGCTGCCACTACATTCTTTACTCCACTAAACCATATAGAGCCAAAATACACATCAAAAGTTCTTCAGCTTTTCAAAATATGGCAAAAATGAGAACTTGATATGTCACTTAAAATAAAGTGACTGCTGTTTCTGTTGTATTTTCCCTTGACAGTACTTCTATTGCTCTACCAGTATTTGCTTGTGTGCCTGCAATATACAAAGCACCACAGGGGTTGCAAGATAAATAAGGCATAGCTGTGCACTTGAAGAACTTAGAGTTTACCAATAAGTTCACAGTAACTAGTGTTTATTGAGGGCTATTCCAAACACTTTACAAAAAATAACTGATTTAATCCTTAGAACAACCGTATGAAGTGGAGACCAATATTATTCCCATTGACCAATAAGAAAACTAAAGCACCATGAGCTCAAGTAATAGGTCCAAGGTCAGACTGCTAGGAAGTGGCAGCTCATGTCCATGCCCCAACCACTGTGCTCTCCAGCCTCTCAGGATGCAAAGAGCTGCATTATAAGGCAGTCAAATGCCCTTGAATGATACAAAGTACAACAGGAATTCAGAGAGCATTTCTGGATGGAATGTTCATCGGGCTACGTGGCAGAGGTAATTGAAAGTAAGAATTTGATAGGTGGAATATAGGCAAGGGACTACAAACCATGCAGATGACAGCTTTCAACATCCAGAAATTTAGTGCACAGCATGTGGTCTAATTAAATTCATTTTCATTTTGCTTGTAGTAAATTGTTTATCCTATCTGCATAAGCAAAATTTCAGCTGCTAATAAAAATAAGGACGGCAAGTGAACTGGAGGTAGTTTTTTTAGGAAATAACGACAATCAAATTCCTAAGGAAAAGATGTATCTGTTTCATTGTTTCTCTTTTATCGACTCTCCTTAATAGAGTAATGTGAAGGCAAACTACAGAATACTATGAGAAATGGGACATTATTATGTAGCTATAGATATATATTTTATATATATATTATATACATGATATATATTATATAGATAGATAGATGTTATGTAGATATATAAAAATATCTATTTCATCTAGTTCATTGCCTTCATTTTCCAGATGGGAAAGTCCACTTGGAAAAGATCAAGTGTCTGCCTAAATTCATACAGTGCATTAATCGTCACGGCTTTTACCTGAACTTAGAATGCCACACTCCTAGTCTGCCGTTCTTTGCACAGCATAGTCACCACCTTAGTTTGGGAGGGACTTCTCATTCTATTTAACACCGCACCCGGGGAACTCAAATCAGAAAAGGTTCTCCATGCATCTGAGCAAGGAGCAAAAGCAGGGTACTCTCGGCATCAACTTCATTTGATGAAAAACCCTTTATTCTCCCATTTTTCTCCTTGAGACCATATTCTCCACTGTGTTCTGAAGGGTAGTTAAGGAAATATCTAGCCATTTAGGGTCACAATCAACAGACACCTGTTATCCAGACATTTTCATTTTTAACCATGCAACAAATCTGGCTGATCGTCACCAAAATGTCATTTTAACTTTTGTCCATTAGGGTTTTGGTAACCAGGGGGAAAAGGAAATAAACCGAAAATACCAGTGTGCTGTTCACTCTGCAGGGAAGATGAAGCTAAGCCAATCCTGTGCTGGGTTCATAAACAAATGCTTGTGCTGAATTTCCAGGAGGGTTTGTGGTGTTGTCTATTTGAGGCTTTGCTTGTAGTACTTAGCAAGCACTCTAGTTGTTGTACACTCATAGTTGTTGTAGACAGCCTGGGGAGGTGTGTGCTCCCAAGCTGAATTTATGTTCTCAGGAACATGCTAATTAGTAACTTTCTGGAAATATACAGTAGTTACCCTTGGCTTGTTATTTTGCAAACAATTAAGAATCCAGAGGAACTAACCCTTATATTTTGTGCTTTGAGGGATATTGCTTTGTGTTTTCCCCAGTGAGTACTTTCTTTTGAAAAGGCAGTTCTGCCAGGTTGTGGGCGCTGAGGAATTACCAAGTGATGTTCCTTGAAAAACGGGCTGAGACCCTACTATGCCATTCTTCAACCAGCTTCTCCCTCCCAACCACCAGCTCCCAACAATTGCCACAAGTTGAGGCTGCTCTGGAAGTCTGGCTTGATCCTAGGAAGCTAGGGCCAGAAGACCTAACTTGAGGATCTTAGTAGGGGCCCTCCAAAAATGTTGTTTCTACGGAAGGAACAAAAAGGGGCAGCAGCAGAGATCCTCCTCTGCTCATGGAATTCTCCTCTGAGGCCTGGACTTGAAATGAGATACAGCCTGAGTCATCTCTCCCAAAGCTAGCTTGCTTAGTAAGTTAAGAACTCCAGAGACATGATCTTACCATTAAATTTATCTCCTAGTTTGGGATAGAATAGCCAAATTAGTAGGAAATCTATTATAATGAAATGTCTTTGATGACGTTTATGAAGATAGATTGATAGATTCATACATATGTAGAAAGAAAGAGATATATGATCTATATGACAGACAGATAGAGATCTAATCTATATAACTCTATCTACTATGTATCTAATTAGTCATTTTTCTTGGCCAATGAGAGAAGGAGAAGAGAGGGAAATGTGGGGATCTCTTCAGTAAATAATACTTCTCACACTGAGAGACATATTGGCATTGCCTTCAATTCCTCTTTAAAAAGAAGAAGAATTAAGTAGATTAGCCTCTGAAAATGTACTTCTTTTAGTAGCTAACCACCTAAGAACAGGACACATATCTCCAAAAATCAGAAAAATGTTTTAAAAAGAGGGAGGAATCCGGTTAGTCTGGGAAGACAGAGAATTGAAAGATTCATAATTATTATTATTAATATAAAGACAGCTAACATTTCTTGAGGATTTACTAAGTGCTAAGCATTGTTTACCGGCACTTAACATGGAGTAACTCATTTAACCCTTTCACCACCACAGCCATTATCTAGTCTGAATTGCAATAATGAAGGATATTTCCTCCAGCAAAGGGGATGCTGATTTTAAGGACCTGTTTAATTGAAGGAGTGTTGAGACAAGATAGAGCTGGCACGGAAGAGCTGTTGGATGCTTTGCCTAAGTCTCAATGCGCACCTTGGGTTGCCATCACATGTATAAATTTATATAAATTGGATCATCAGTCTGCTTTAATAAATGTGTATCCGACCATTGGGTTGTAGAAATTTCAAAGATTTTATTTTTTGACAGGATGCCTGCCGTTTTTCTCTCTTGACTCCCGCTTGTTTTATTCATTTTGGGGTAGTTGCCAATTAGACCCAATTGGTAAGTATAATTAATGGACAACATGAATTGCGTCTTAAACCCCAACCAAGAAAATTAACCATAGAAGCATTCGTTTCCTTTAAAAATTCCTAACACTACCCCTCCTTCTGACTGTTGTTTATCTCCATCTCTTCTAAGACATCCAACCACATCAGAGATTAGTTACTCCCTATTATTCATCATCCTAAAATACCTCATAAAACAGGAAGGAGGGAAATAAGCATTTATTGAGATACTCGTATGTTCCAGGCACTATGCTAGGCACTGTCTCTTTTAATACTTACAGAAATCCTTCAAGGTAGGAATTACTATCTTCCTTTTTTATAGTTGACGAAACAGCATCTCAGAATAGTTCAGCCCTTGTCTTAAGTCCAGTTAGTGGCATGACCACGTGCAAACCTAAGCTAATATGATTCCAAAAACCTTGTTCTTTTCACCCCACATAGGGAAGCATGATTTCATTAAAAAAGAGACTCCTCTAAAACTTTGTGACCTTGGAGGATTTGGAGGTCATTATTTCATTCAACAATTATTTGAACACAAACTCTATGCCAGACATAGGTTGAGTATTGGTTCGATTGGAATTAGTCATTGGCAGAACTTTGGGCAGAGGATGGTGGTTAGTGGCAAGATGGTGGAGGTCACAGGAGCAACATGAGGAGGAAGTAGGACGGGGTGATGACGTGGAGGGTGGGGATGGGGAGAAACAGAGGAGCTCCTGATCGTGTCCCTGTGGCTACAGTCTTTCTTCATGTGACTCGTGGACTTCCCTTTGTCATCCTATGCCTGAGAATATATGAAGGAGGCTGGGAAGGCAAAGGGACGTTCAATTGTCATCACTGGCATCTTTTTTGATCATTGCACCATCATCAAATATGTTGGGGTAACCATGACATGAAATTTTCCATCATTGAGCCTATAAATGTTCCATGAAATAGATAACAACTCTACAAGTTGAAGGTCTTAGCAGAACTTAATCCAGGGAGCCCAGAAAGTAGGAAGCGGTGAAGTTATACTCTCAAAGACCAACAGCCCTGGGTTCAAACCACATGACTTGAAAAGGAAGTAACACTTCCTCCAGCAAGTTACATATGTATCAGGAACATCTCATTGCCTTCTATGGACGATCTAACCCATTCAGCCCAATCATTCAGACTTTCTACCACCTGTAGTCTCAACCAATCAAGTAAAAGACCATCCAAATTGCAAATACCAAATTCATGATCAATTGACTTTGGACTGTAATGACTTGCTATTTTTCAGATGCTCTCAGCTGAACGTGTTGTTCAAAGTTTTTTCTGCCTTTTAAAGAATTTTTCCTCTGAAGAATAGGTTGTGTGAAGAAGACTGCACAGTTTAAACATCTGCCCTCTCTTAATCTTATGAATTAGCTTGGCACAAGTTGGCTGTGCCGCTGAAATGCTTCTCATGCTTGTTAATGAAAAGCCACATTGTCAATCAAGATAATAATGGAGTCAAAAGAAAAACGTTGGAAGGGTAGAACACATTTTAGCAAAACCTGTTTCTTGGCGTTTGCCTGTCTTGTTTATCTGACTTATTTGCCAATTCAAGCTAGGAGCTCTCTTTTTTTTAGGAGAGAGCCTTTTCTGAGTTAGAATTACTCGTTCAGGGACTCGGACGGTTCCTGTAAACAAATGAGTCTGAACAGGGGAACTGTCTCCCATTTTGATAAGATCTTGTAGGTTCTTTTACATTCAGGGAAGAACGCTGAGATCTCCCATCACATTGGAAAGATTTGGGTTGCAAATATTTTCCTGGCATTTTGGTCTCAAAGTCAGCAAAGTTTACTGTCGCTGGTCAGATCTAATAGGTTCCTATCATGATAACATAGACCTTGACGGGACCCAGTCTCTTCCTTGTTCCACTTCTAACCAAAAGACCTGTATTGTTTCATCTGTTGTTTTTCTAACTTCTCCTCCTTCCATAATGCATTTGGACCTTATGTTCCACACATTCTAAGCTACTTGCAGTTTCCCTTGAATGACATACCCCATCGGATGTGGTTTAGTCCCATTTTGACACTTGCTGAAATTCCAACCTCTCCCCAACTCTCCTTTTTGACAAAAACCTACACTCCAAGTGGCAGATCGAAAATCTTCTCTTCTATGAAATCTTATCGGTAACCTCACACACATACACCCCACGATCCTCCTAGGCTCAATTTTCACCACATCCTTCATGTTCCCACAGCATTCTGTGTAAACATCTGTCTAGCACCACCTCTTTTGGTAGAGTGGTTATGTATCTACTTGCCTCCACTGCCCCCCATCCCCTGTAGATTGTGAGCTCCTTGTGAGCAGAGCCTGAGTCGTCTTCATTTTTGTCATCCTGCAAACCTAGCACAGTGCCTGGCACATGCAGGTAGGTGCTCAATAAATTTTTATTGTAAACAGTGATATTTGGTTTTCTGGCCTTATTTTTAGCTCTAGTTTCCAGCCTGACATGAAAATGAAATAGAGGAGTTTAGATATGAAAAGCTATACAGGAAGCACACATAGTCAAACAATAATACATAGAAAGACTCAGGGAGGATAAATGAATTGGAACAGGTACAGGCAAAGACCATCATGCATACTTCCAACTGTCATGGGCATGAAAGCATTTACTCTGAGAAATTTGACTGGGTTCCTGTTGAATCATGATTGTTGTTAAATCATTCCCATCTTAGGAATTTACAGAGTCTAAAAATATATTTTTTCATAGCAGCCAGGGCCATCATGGCTTCACTATTTCCATTTACACGGAAAAAGAAATAACTATTGATTTTTCCCCACTTAGTTAAAGTGATAACTGCCCATGGCTGCTTTTCAGTCCAGATTAGGATCAGCCATTCAGTGGAAATGCATAGCTAACTTTAGAAAGTCAGACAAACATAAAATAAATGGGAAAACTTGTGCTGATTGAGTACTTTTCTGCCATAATCAACAATTTCACAGTGGGATATATTTAGAGAAGATAAGGGATCTCATTCTCTAGGGAGGTCTTAAAAAAAAGTGGGCTGAGATTTAAATTTGCTTGAGATGGTGGGTAAGGCCAGGGAATTTGTCATAGATCCCTTCAAAGCCACTTCCCAGGATTTAAAATAACTTGCCCATCCCTTCAAAACATTATTTGGATCATTTCAAGCCATTGAAACGAATAGATGTAAGAGTGAAATATAATTCACATAGGCTTGAAAAATGAGTAAGAAGTAGTGCTCCCAAGATGTCAGTAGTAAAGTTGTGATGGGTTTTTAACAGAATAAAAATCTTTTAACCTTGAACCCTCAGTTAAAGATCATTAACCCTTGAGGAAAATAGAGATGTTATGCCCTAATACTGGCCAAATAAGCAAAGAGCTGATTTTCTTTCTTCTTTTTTGGCATCCATAGCTGAAACCAATAAGCAGCGCTCTCCCTCATTGAACAGGCTGTCCCTGTTCTGCGAGGAAGCCAGATTACACAAGCTGTGCGGAGTTCCACATGCCACAACCCTGCAGGCAGACACTGAGTCCTGAATCTCAGGCAGAGGAACCAACAGTTCTTGTTAGCTAATGAGCCTGGAGTCTCTGGGTCCACATGGGCTCTGTGGGCAATTCCTCCTGGAACGAGGCAGGTGCGCCTTTGCTCGAACAGGGGTGTGAGGACTGAAGAGTCAGCTTTTCTGGTCATCAGACAAGTCTGAGCTGAACCCATCCTCATTAGCAGCATTTCTTCCCCCCAGAGGGAGAAGACAGGAAGTGAATGCTGACTCTGGTGCACCTCAGAATTTATGATGAAATCATGGGGGATTCTGAAGGAAGCAGTGATTGAACATGGCGTGCACGGATCAGGAATTTGGGGAGAAGTGGAAAGTTTGCTTCACCCCTGTATTTCCATTCTTAGATTCTGTTTTCTTGGCATGCATGAAGCAAGATTTGTTTTGTTCTGTTGATTTATTTGTTTCCATTAGTCAAGTAATAAGAATTGTTGCAGTGAGTATGAACTATTGTTCATAAAGTTCGGTATGTGGCAAATGTCACATAATAAATATTTTCCTTAATTGAGATAAATCCAATTCCAAGCCCCCTTTCAATCTAGTTTTGGTAAATGAAATTTAATCCTTTTTTTTTTCTTTTGGTGAGGAAGATTGGCCATAAATTAACATCTGTTGCCAATCTTCCTCTTTTAGCTTAAGGAAGATTGTTGCTGAGCTAACATCCGTGCCAGTCTTCCTTGATTTTGTATGTGGAACATTGCCAAGGCATGGTTTGATGAATGACGTGTTCATCTGCACCTGGGATCCAAACCTGGGAACCCCGGGCTGCCACCTGCAAACCCCGGGTTGCTGAAGCAAAGCGTGCAAACTTAACCATTACATCACTGGATTGGCCCCTAATCTTAATCTTTATTAGGTCTCTTTCTCTCTCCCCTCCCTCCTCTCTCCTTCTTCCTCTTCTCTCCCCTCATATTTCTCCCTCCCCTTACTCTCCTCTCTCTCTCTTCCTTTTCTTTCTTCTCCCTCTCCTTCCCTCCTCCATCTCTCTCTCTCTCTCCCCACCTGCCCCTCTTCTCTCCCCAATTACCTCCCTATCTTCCCTCTCTCTTTACCTCCACCTTCATGCTTACAGTGTACCTGGAGAATTGGAAAAGGGCCTCTTAACTTCCCTTAGCCAACGTTACCACTGATACAATCACTGCCCAAGCCTGCTTGGTCCCTCCCAGGCAGCAGGCTCTGGTGCTCCCGCACCTAGTGAAGCCGGTGGCATCTTTGCTGCAGCTGGCATGACTGATGCCCAGGTGCCCAGGGCTCAGCATCCCAAAATGCACTTTACAGCAGTCCCCCTCAGACCAGGTGCCTGTGCTAATCCCACCCTTACAGAGCTTACCTTTGAGTGGAAGGAGACAGAAAATAAGTCAATAAAATATACAGTGAATTGCAGAGAGATAAGTGCTAAGGAGAGAAATAAAGCAGAAAACGCACAGTGCAGGAAAGAGGCTGTTTTAAGCAGAGCGGAGAGAA